TGATGCTTGAAGATGAGTACCGTGCTCGTCAACAAAATGAAGCTCAACAGTATTTAGACATGTTTGTAACACGTCTTGATATTGAAGAAGATCTTGCAATGGCTTTAGTAGAAATGGGCTTTACCTCACTTGAGGAAATCGCTTATGTACCTGCAGAAACTTTCGATGAAATCGAATTAGATGCAGATACAGTTGAATTGCTACAAAGTCGTGCAAAAGAAGCAGCTTTAGCTGATGCGTTAAAGCAACAAGAAGATATTCAGGACCCAAGTCCAGAACTTGTTGCGATGGAAGGAATGACTTCTGAAATTGCGCATGCTTTAGCAGCACGTGGTGTGGTAACAATCGATGACTTAGCTGACCAAGCAACGGATGATATCTCTGATATCGACGGTTTAGGCGCTGAGAAAGCAGGTCAATTGATTATGAAAGCACGTGAATCATGGTTTAACTAGGAGGTAATACATGACGGATAAGTCAATTCAAGAGTTAGCGGTCAGCGTAGGACTTCCTGTTGCAAAGCTCCTTGATCAGGTGCGTGAAGCTGGATTGCCACAAAAACAGGCTGAAGATAAAATTTCTACTGAACAGCAAGATGTTCTCGTGAACCATTTGAAAAAAGCGCATGGTCAAGATACGGGACAAGCAGGACAAATCACGTTGAAACGTAAAACGACAAGTACAGCTAAAGTTGCGAGTACTTCAGGTAAAGCGAAGACAATTAACGTAGAAGTTCGTAAGAAACATACGTTTACTAAGCCAGACCCTGAACAAATTAAAGCGGAAGCTTTGGCGAAAGCTCAAGCAAATGCTCAAGTGACATCAACTCAAAAAGTACAGCAAAATACTGTAGTGAGTGGAGTTGAAAAAACTGAAAGTTCAGCGAAAGCGAATTTAGAAAAAATGCGTGCTGCTGCAAAACAGCAAACTGCTGCAAAAGAAACACCAAAAGCAGCAGTTGTTGTAAAGCGTAAATCGACCAATAAGCCGATTACCAAAGCAACCGTAAAAACCATTGAAACCCCTGAGCAGAAACGTGCCCGTGAAGCTCAAGCAGCACAACTGAAAGCGACTGAAGAAGCAGCTCGTCGTAAGTCAGCAGAAGAAGCTCAACAACGTACCCTTGAGCAAATGCGTCAAATGGCGTCTAAGTATTCTTCTGATGAAACAACGACTACGATTCGTGTTGTTGATGATTCACCGTTGGCTGCTGGTTTGGTTGGTCAAGCATATGAAGATTCATTTGCGAAAGAAGACCGTGAAATCAAACGTGGTACCAATACTGCAAATACGCGTTCTCCTAAAAAAGGTGGTCGTCGTGGTCAGGAAGAGCAATCTTTCAGCCATAACCCGCATAAACGTGGTTTAAAAACCAGCCAAGCCAATAAACATGGTTTTGAAAAACCAGTTAAAAAGCAAGTTTATGACGTTGAAATTGGTGAAACCATTGTTGTTGCAGATCTTGCAGCAAAAATGGCAGTTAAAGTTCGTGAAGTGATTAAATCACTCATGAAAATGGGTGAGCTTGTTACTCAGAACCAAGCCATTGAGCAAGAAATTGCAGCATTGATTGTTGAAGAAATGGGTCACAACCCAGTACGTGTATCTGATACACAAGCTGAAGATAACCTACTTGAAGCAGCTGAAGAAGCGCGTGGTGCACAAACAACACGTGCGCCAGTTGTAACGATCATGGGTCACGTTGACCATGGTAAGACATCGTTACTTGATCGTATTCGTCGTGCCAAAGTTGCACAAGGCGAAGCGGGCGGAATTACACAGCATATTGGTGCTTATCACGTTAAAACGGATAAAGGAATTATCACTTTCCTTGATACGCCTGGACATGCTGCATTTACTGCAATGCGTTCACGTGGTGCCAAAGCGACTGATATCGTGGTACTTGTTGTTGCTGCGGATGATGGTGTAATGCCACAAACTGCGGAAGCAATTGACCATGCGCGTGCTGCCGGTACTCCAATTATTGTTGCAATCAATAAAATGGATAAAGAATCAGCTGATCCAGATCGCGTATTGAATGAATTGACAACCAAAGAAATCGTGCCTGAACAATGGGGTGGTGATGTACCAGTTGCAATGGTTTCAGCACACTCAGGTCAAGGTATCGACGAACTTCTAGATTTGATTTCAATTCAAGCTGAAATGTTAGAGTTGAAAGCATCTGAAGAAGGTGCTGCACAAGGTGTTGTGATTGAAGCACGTGTAGACAATAGCCGTGGTGCGGTAACGTCTATTCTTGTTCAAAACGGTACCTTGAAAGTAGGTGACTTGGTTCTTGCTGGTGCGTCTTACGGCCGTGTCCGTGCGATGACCGATGAGAATGGTCAACGTATTCAATCTGCAGGTCCTTCAATTCCAGTTGAAATTTTAGGTCTTCCAGAAGCGCCAATGGCGGGTGATGAAGTTCTTGTTGTTAATGACGAGAAAAAAGCACGTGAAGTTGCCGATGCGCGTATGGATCGTGAGCGTCAAAAACGTCTTGAACGTCAAAGTGCAATGCGTCTTGAGAACATCATGGCGTCAATGGGCAAAAAAGATGTACCGATTGTAAATGTTGTTCTTAAAACTGATGTACGTGGTACATTGGAAGCGCTACATGTTGCACTTGCTGATCTTGCAACTGACGAAGTTAAAGTACGTGTAATCGGTTCGGGCGTTGGTGCAATCACTGAGTCTGATGTTACCCTTGCTGAATCTTCAGAAGCGGTGCTTCTTGGCTTTAACGTACGTGCAGACAATACCGCGCGTCAAAAAGCAGATGCAGATGGTATCGACATTCGTTACTACTCAATCATCTATCAACTTATTGATGATGTGAAAGCAGCAATGAGCGGAAAACTTGCACCTGAACACCGTGAAACAATTCTGGGTGTTGCAGAAGTTCGTGAAGTATTCCATTCAAGTAAGTTTGGTGCTGCTGCGGGTTGTATGGTACTCGAAGGTGTATTACATCGTAATAAACCAATCCGTGTACTACGTGATGATGTTGTGGTATTCCAAGGCGAGCTTGAATCTCTTCGTCGCTATAAAGAAGTGGTTGAAGAAGTTCGTGCTGGTATGGAATGTGGTCTTGCAGTAAAAGGTTATAAAGACATCAAAGCACTTGATAAAATCGAAGTGTATGATGTTCAGTTGATTAAACGGAGTCTTTAATGGCGGGTAGTCAACGTCTTAAGCGTATGGCAGATACAGTACAACGTGAGTTGTCAGAACTGATTCGCCAAGAGCTGAAAGATCCACGCTTAGGTGGTCTAGTGACCATCTCTGCAGTGAAAGTCAGTC